ACCTCTGGTGGCATGTCTTGTGGAGTATGGATGGGTATCCGAGCTGTGTGCCAGTAGTTCAAACAGACAGCTCGGTGCATTCAACATGTCAATACCTCTCACAAATACAAGTAGTGATGAAGTCAATGTCTCCTCCACTTTGAGCCAGGAGAGATTGACATGCACATTATTAATGTTAGCTCTCTGTGTACATTTAAGGGCCAGCCGTGCTGCCCTGTTCTGAACCAATTGCAATTTTCCTAAGTCCCTCTTTGTGGCACCTGACCACATGACTGGACAGTAGTCCAGGTGTGACAAAACGAGGGCCTGTAGGACCTGCCTTGTTGATAGTGCTGTTAAAAAGGCAGAGTATCACTTTATTATGGACAGACTTCTCCCCATTTTAGCTACTGTTGTATCAATATGTTTTGACCATGACAGTTTACAATCCAGGATTACTCCAAGCAGTTTAGTCACCTCAACTTGCTCAATTTCCACATTATTCATTACAAGATTTAGTTGAGGTTTAGTGAATTTGTCCCAAATACAATGCTTTTTGTTTTTGAAATATTTAGGACTAACTTATTCCTTGCCACCCATTCTGAAACTAACTGCAGCTCTTTGTTAAGTGTTGCAGTCATTTCAGTCACTGTAGTAGCTGACGTGTATAGTGTTGAGTCATCTGCATACATAGACACACTGGCTTTACTCAAAGCCAGTGGCATGTCGTTAGTAAAGATTGAAAAAAGTAAGGGGCCTAGACAGCAGCCCTGGGGAATTCCTGATTCTACCTGGATTATGTTGGAGAGGCTTCCATTAAAGAACCCCCTCTGTGTTCTGTTAGACAGGTAACTCTTTAGCCACAATAGAGCAGGGGGAGTAAAGCCATAACACATATATTTTTCCAGCAGCAGACTATGATCAATAATGTCACACTGAAGTCTAACAAAACAGCCCCACAATCTTTTTATCATCAATTCCTCTCAGCCAATCATCAGTCATTTGTGTAAGTGCTGTGCTTGATGAATGCCCTTCCCTATAAGCGTGCTGAAAGTCTGTTGTCAATTTGTTTACTGTAAAATAGCATTTTATCTGGTCAAACACAATTATTTCCAAACGTTTACTAAGGGTTGGTAACTGGCTGATTGGTCGGCTATTTGAGCCAGTAAAGGGGGCTTTACTATTCTTAGGTAGCGGAATGACTTTTGCTTCCCTCCAGGCCTGAGGGCACACACTTTCTAGTAGGCTTAAATTGAAGATATGGCAAATAGGAGTGGAAATATCGTCCGCTATTATACTCAGTAATTTTCCAAATACAAAAAAAATACAAAATACAAATACAAAAATATAAAGAAATGACATCAGTGAACACACTACAGGTGGTTCTGACCTAGACATCTTAAGGGATCATTTGGCTCAAATATTTGACCCACAATTATAAATAAGCCTATTAGCCCATTCTCCCCCAACACACACCTCCTTGCTGCTCAGATAAGTCTGCTAAGCTTTACTGAACCAATTGCTGCTTTAAAACTGGACCAGGATGTGTTGGGCCCATATTTGGAGTCTGACTCAATTGGTCAGGTTTTGTGAAGGAATACCATGAAATTACTGGAAAGAGTAGTACATTTCAAAATGAAACAAATCATGGCATGGAAGTACATCCATATTAATCTCGTCCACCAGCAGGCTCTCTCTATGGTAGCAATTGAGCCTGTGGACGAGGTTACCTCGGTATACACAAAACAGTTTGATAGAATACCTTTAAACTTTTAAAACCCAATGTACACCATTGTCTTGTCACATAATTATTTAAAGTAAAGCTACTATTCTATCCACAAAAATTCAACATGAAAGCAATTAAGTCTTTCTAATCATAATTGGTGTCAAGGGTAACAGAACAATGCTAGCACATACAGTGCATTCGGAAAGTATTCAGACCCCTTGACTTTTTCCACGTTTTGTTATGTTACAGCCTTATTCTAAAATTGATTAAATCGTTTTTTCCCCTCCAATCTACACACAATACTCCATAATGACAAAGCAAAAACATGTTTTTAGAAATGTTTGCAAATGTATAAAAAAATCATCTGAAATATCACATTTACATAACTATTCAGACCCTTTACTCAGTCCTTTGTTGAAGCACCTTTGGCAGTGACTACAGCCTCAAGTCTTCTTGGTTATGATGGTACAAGGAAGGCACACCTGTATTTGGGGAGTTTCTCCCATTCTTCCCTGTAGATCCGCTCAAGCTCTGTCAGGTTGGATGGGGACCCTAAGCAGCTATTTTCAGGTCTCTCCAGAGATGTTCGATCAGGTTCAAGTCCGGGCTCTGGCTGGGCCAATCAAAGACATTCAGAGACTTGTCCCTAAGCCACTCCTGCGTTGTCTTGGCTGTGTGCTTAGGGTCGTTGTCCTGTTGGAAGGTGAATTTTCACCCCAGTCGGAGATCCTGAGTGCTCTGGAGCAGGTTTTCATCAAGGATCTCTCTGTACTTTGCTCCGTTCATCTTTCCCTCGATCCTGACTAGTCTCCCAGTCCCTGCCGCTGAAAAACATCCCCACAGCATGATGCTGCCAACACCATGCTTCACCGTAGGGATGGTGCCAGGTTTCCTTTCAGATGTGACGCTTGGCATTCAGGCCAAAGTGTTCAATCTTGGTCCTTTAGGTGCCTTTTGACAAACTCCAAGCAGGTTGTCATGTGCCTTTTACTCAGGAGTGGCTTCCGTCTGGCCACTCTACCATAAAGGCCTGATTGGTGGAGTGCTGCAGAGATGGTTGTCCTTCTGGAAGGTTCTCCCATCTCCACAGAGGAACTCTGGAGCTCTGTCAGAGTGATCATCGGGTTCTTGGGGACTTCCTGACCAAGGCCCTTCTCTCCCGATTGCTCAGTTTGGCCGGGCGGCCAGATCTAGGAAGAGTGTTGGTGGTTCCAAACTTCTTCCATTTAAGAATGATGGAGGCCACTGTCTTCTTTGGGACCTTCAATGCTGCAAAAAATTTTTGGTACCCTTCCCCAGATCTGTGCTTCGACACAATCCTGTCTCGGAGCTCTGCAGACAATTCCTTCGACCTCATGGCTTGGTTTTTGCACTGACATGCACTGTCAACTGTGGGACCTTATATAGACAGGTGTGTGCCTTTCCAAATAATGTCCAATCAATTGGATTTACCACAGGTGGACTCCAATCAAGTTGTCAAAACATCTCAAGGATGATCAATGGAAAGAATGCACCTGAGCTCAATTTCTAGTCTCATAGGAAAGGGTCTGAATACTTATGTAAATAAGGTATTTCAGGTTTTTTATAAATTTGCAAAAAAAATTAAAACCACTTTTTTTTTTAATTCAATCCATTTTAGAATAAGGCTGTAACGTAACAGAATGTGGAAATAGTCAAGGGGTCTGAATACTTTCCGAATCCACTGTCTGTGACAAATTGTAGGTTATATAACAGAACATATTTGGAATGTACTATATCGAATAAGAGCATTTTGGTAAAAAAAAAAAAGGGATTGTGAATCGATCACATCATATCAAAATAGATTTTAAAGGCATTTTATGGCACCTTGGCTACATCAACTCATGTACATTGTCTAATATAAGAAGGTAAGTTGAACTCATAAAGGGGTAAAGGGTTTCACTGCTAGTATAGATAATGGACGGAGGTTGAACTGCTACAGAATGGGTTATTTGGTGGACATTAGAGCTTGCTACCAGGGTTGGGGTCAATTCGTTTTCCATCTCAGTCAATCCAGGAAGTAAACTGAAATTCCAGTTTCAAATGTTTCTCATAAAGAAGCATTGAGCAAAGTTGAAATTGGACATTTTTACTCCCTGAATTGATTGAAATGAAATGACCCCAACCCTGCTTGCTACATCTCGGCTGCCTGTTTGCTGTTTTTTCTACTGTGTTTAATAGAAATACTGAAAGATCAATGTTGCACCATCCCCCCTGGATTTTAGCAAAGGATTCAATGGTAAATACTTTCAATGGAGGTTTACAAATAGTCTTCTTCTGGAGAACGAGAGTCAATTCTAAGTGGTGGCATGGTTGACAGAGTAGATTATACAACATCCTCAACCATACAGTAGACATTCAACCTGTAGGTTATGCTGAACAACATTCACATCTTTTATTTGACAATTACTTCCCAGCGAGTCTATAATACAAAACAAAACGCTCATAATATATTCTAGGGATGGTGTGAGTCCTCAGAGGTTTAGCTTACATGATACAAACTGAAAATCTAAAATCATTGTTTATGTTCTTATAGAAATAGAAACACTTAAAATCTATTAAAATAATTTATCTGTGCCTGTTTGAGCTTGCCTGGCTTAATGAACCAATAGAAAAGTCCCAAAACTGCAAACCAGGTAGACTCAAGCAAACGCTCAAAGTATTTGAATCGATTTTTCAAGTATTTGAAAACTAGGTCTGTATAGAAAACTGAAGAGCAAGGGGAGGGAGAAGGGGTTGGTAAATAAATAACCCCCAACCAAATCCTTATAAACCTGGAGGAGACTCTTCCACATACCGTGACTGATAGCCAAGGCTGATCCCTCCAAATATACCAAACTTATATTTGCAGTCCCCCAAAACAAGCACCAAGATAGCTGTACAAGACAACAACAAAAAAATACTTCACCTTGAACCCGACACACACATAAATGATCCCATATTGAGAATATCTTCCAAGCCCTCTGAACCAACAACCAACATTGACTGGTGCTGTGTTCTGTTCTCTCCTCTGCAGGCCCTTCTTAACACATGGAACATCACAACAGAACCACAAAGTGAGTGCCCTCTCAACCAAACTTGCTGGCTGTGTTCCTCATCCACCTACACTGCTCTGCCCCAGCGACCAATCCACCAATCCCTAAGAGCCCTCTTGGCAGGTGGGAGGGACTAAAACACCATAAGGAGTGGATAACTAACCAACCACCAAGTTCACCAACAGGCCTGGTGCCCCTGTCTGTCCGGTGAGCTGGCATGACTGTGCCCAGGGTGGAGTTGGTTAGGTTGGCAGAGGGTCGTCATCCCCTTTACTGCATTTACACTTGCAGCACAAAACGAAGGGTGAGGCTATGAGGAGAAAGGGAGACGCCAACAGCAGGAGCAGCCCGAAGCCAGCGAATATCCCCACCACCTGCAGAGAGAGGGAGGGGGAGAGATGTGGAAGTGTGCTTTTACTATATACCCTCTTCAACCCCAACAAGCAAGCACATATATCTAAGCCCTTTTTACGTCACAAGTTGTAACATGGGATTCATGAGGTGCTTGTTTTAACCCAGACATCACAAGATACCAGAGAGAAGTGATGTACAGTACAATGATGCACCAACACAAAATGTATTCAATCTCTAATTTGCCTGAGCAGTAGTACAGTAACAATCCACAAGGAGGCAGTAGTTCCCCAAACATATAATCTACATTGAGACAGGGCTGGCGTCCACTTAGTGTTTATGACACTGAGTCATCCTTTTGCATTTTCCTATTTGACCTTCACAAATACAGTGCCTTACAAAAGTATTCATCCCCCTTGGCATTTTTCCTATTTTGTTGCATTACAACCTGTAATTTAAATGGATTTTTATTTGGATTTCATGTAATGGACATACACAAAATAGTCCAAATTGGTGAAGTGAAATGAAAAAAATAACTTGTTTCAAAAAATTCAAAAAAATAAATAACAGAAAGGGGGTGCGTGCATATGTATACACCCCTTTTGCTATGAAGCCCCTAAATAAGATCTGGGGCAACCAAAAAATTGAAAGAATATGGCACCACAACAAACCTGACAAGAGAGGGCTGCCCACCAAAACTCACGGACCAGGCAAGGAGGGCATTAATCAGAGAGGCAACAAAGAGACCAAAGATAACCCTGAAGGAGCTTCAACGCTCCACAGCGGAGATTGGAGTGTCTGCCCATAGGACCACTTTAAGCCGTACACGCCACAGAGCTGGCCAGAAAAAAGCCATTGCTTAAAGAAAAAAATAAGCAAACATGTTTGGTGTTCACCAAAGGCCATGTGGGAGACTCCCCAAACATATGGAAGAAGGTACTCTGTTCAGATGAGACTAAAATTGAGCTTTTTGGCCATCAAGGAAAACGCTATGTCTGGGGCAAACCCAACACCTCTCATCACCCCGAGAACACCATCCCCACAGTGAAGCATGGTGGTGGCAGCATCATGCTGTGGGGATGTTTTTCATCGGCAGGGACTGGGAATCTTGTCAGAATTTAATGAATGATGGATGGCGCTAAATACAGGGAAAGTATTGAGGGAAACCTGTTTCAGTCTTCCAGAGATTTGAGACTGGGACGGAGGTTCACCTTCCAGCAGGACAATGACCCTAAGCATTCTGCTGAAGCAACACTCGAGTGGTATAAGGGGAAATATTTAAATGCCTTGGAATGGCCTAGTCAAATCCCAGACCTCAATCCAATTGAGAATCTGTGGTATGACTTAAAGAATGCTGAACACCAGCGAAACCCATCCAACTTGAAGGAGCTGGAGCAGTTTTGCCTTGAAGAATGGGCAAAAATCCCAGTGGCTAGATGTGCCAAGATTATAGAGACATACCCCAAGAGAAGAGGGGTGAATAGTTATGCACGCTCAAGTTTTCAGTTTTTTGGTCTTATTTCTTGTTTGTTTCACAAATGCCAAGGGGGGTGAATACTTTCGCAAGCCACTGTTTATACATCACTTAGTGTCCATGACAATAAACAACCATCAGGCAACATCATTGTGTTGAGTCTAATGGGAGCAGAGCTTTCAAGAACCCCTTTAAAATATTGATGAAGCAGTTGGGGCATCCTTATAGTGGTGTTAAACTTACATAAGACCTACAGAGGAACAAGTGTGGCCAGATATACACTACCGGTCAAAAGTTTTAGAACACCTACTCATTCAAGGGTTTTTCTTTATTTGTACTATTTTCTACATTGTAGAATAATAGTGAAGATATCAAAAATATGTTAATAACACATATGGAATCACGTAGTAACCAAAAAAGTGTTAAACAAATCAAGTTTTATTTTATATTTGAGATTCTTCAAATAGCCACCCTTTGCCTTGATGACAGCTTTGCAGACTCTTGGCATTCTCTCAACTAGCTTCATGAGGTAGTCACCTGGAATGCATTTCAATTAACAGGTGTGCCTTCTTAAAAGTTAATTTGTGAAATGTATTTCCTTCTTAATGCGTTTGAGCCAATCAGTTGTGTTGTGACAAGGTAGGGTGGCTATACAGAAGATAGCCCTATTTGGTAAAAGACCAAGTCCATATTCTGTCAAGAACAGCTCAAATAAGCAAAGAGAAACAACAGTCCATCATTACTTTAAAACATGAAGGTCAGTCAATACGGAACATTTCAAGAACTTTGAAAGTCGCAAAAACCATCAAGTGCTATGAAACTGGCTCTCATGAGGCCCGCCACAGGAATGGAAGACCCAGAGTTACCTCTGCTGCAGAGGATAAGTTCATTAGAGTTACCAGCCTCAGAAATTGCAGTCCAAATAAATGCTTCAGAGTTCAAGTAACAGACACATCTCAACATCAACTGTTCAGAGGAGACTGTGTGAATCAGGCCTTCATGGTCGAATTGCTGCAAAGAAACCACTACTAAAGGATACCAATAAGAAGAAGAGACTTGCTTGGGCAAAGAAACACGAGCAATGGACATTAGACCGGTGGAAATGTGTCCTTTGGTCTGGAGTCCAAAATTGAGATATTTGGTTCCAACCGCTGTGTCTTTGTGAGACGTGGTGTGGGTGAACGGATGATCTCTGCATGTGTATTTCCCACTGTAAAGCATGGAGGAGGAGGTGTTATGGTGTGGGGGTTCTTTGCTGGTGACACTGTCTGTGATTTATTTAGAATTCAAGGCACACTTAACCAGTATGGCTACCACAGCATTTTGCAGCGATACGCCATCCCATCTGGTTTGGGCTTAGTGGGACTATCATTTGTTTTTTAACAGGACAATGATGCAACACACCTCCAGGCTGTGTAAGGGCTATTTGACCAATAAGGAGAGTGATGGAGTGCTGCATCAGATGACCTGGCCTCCACAATCCCCCGACCTCAACCAAATTGAGATGGTTTGGGATGAGTCGGACCACAGAGTGAAGGAAAAGCAGCCAACAAGTGCTCAGCATATGTGGGAACTCCTTCAAGACTGTTGGAAAAGCATTCCAGGTGAAGCTGGTTGAGAGAATGCCAAGAGTGTGCAAAGCTGTCATCAAGGCAAAGGTTGGCTATTTGAAGAATCTCAAATATAAAATATATTTTGATTTATTTAACACTTTTTTGGTTACTACATGATTCCATATGTGTTATTTCATAGTTTTGACATCTTCACTATTATTCTACAATGTAGAAAATAGTACAAATAAAGAAAAACCCTTGAATGAGTAGGTGTTCTAAAACTTTTGACCGGTAGTGTATATCTGGCCACACTTGTTCCTCTGTAGGTCTTATGTAAGTTTAACACCACTATAAGGATGCCCCAACTGCTTCATCAATATTTTAAAGGGGTTCTTGAAAGCTCTGCTCCCATTAGACTCAACACAATGATGTTGCCTGATGGTTGTTTATTGTCATGGACACTAAGTGATGTATAAACAGTGGCTTGCGAAAGTATTCACCCCCCTTTATTTTCTTTAAAAATAAAGAAAAATCCTTGAATGAGTAGGTGTTCTAAAACTTTTCACCGGTAGTGTATTCACACACTTATCAATCCTATTTTTTTAAATGTTTGTTCTCATGCTGTCTGAGACCTTCTCCTATACCTGCTTCTAAAGTGACATACATAACTTTAAACTTCAAACCTACACAAGTGGCTGAATTTTTTTATGCCACTTAGTACCCATTTGTGGTAATAATTTTTCCTTTTTCTTTTCAATGACATACAGATACTTTGAAAATGAGGACTTTTAACTGTAATATAGGACATATACACTGCTCAAAAAAATAAAGGGAACACTTAAACAACACAATGTAACTCCAAGTCAATCACACTTCTGTGAAATCAAACTGTCCACTTAGGAAGCAACACTGATTGACAATAAATGTCACATGCTGTTGTGCAAATGGAATAGACAACAGGTGGAAATGATAGGCAATTAGCAAGACACCCCCAAAAAAGGACTGGTTTTGCAGGTGGTGACCACAGACCACTTCTCAGTTCCTATGCTTCCTGGCTGATGTTTTGGTCACTTTTGAATGCTGGCGGTGCTTTCACTCTAGTGGTAGCATGAGACGGAGTCTACAACCCACACAAGTGGCTCAGGTAGTGCAGCTCATCCAGGATGGCACATCAATAAGAGCTGTGGCAAGAAGGTTTGCTGTGTCTGTCAGCGTAGTGTCCAGAGCATGGAGGCGCTACCAGGAGACAGGCCAGTACATCAGGAGACGTGGAGGAGGCCGTAGGAGGGCAACAACCCAGCAGCAGGACTGCTACCTCCGCCTTTGTGCAAGGAGGAGCAGGAGGAGCACTGCCAGAGCCCTGCAAAATGACCTCCAGCAGGCCACAAATGTGCATGTGTCTGCTCAAATGGTCAGAAACAGACTCCATGAGGGTGGTATGAGGGCCCGAAGTCCACAGGTGGGGGTTGTGCTTACAGCCCAACACCGTGCAGGACGTTTGGCATTTGCCAGAGAACACCAAGATTGGCAAATTCGCCACTGGCGCCCTGTGCTCTTCACAGACGAAAGCAGGTTCACACTGAGCACATGTGACAGACGTGACAGAGTCTGGAGACGCCGTGGAGAACGTTCTGCTGCCTGCAACATCCTCCAGCATGACCGGTTTGGCGGTGGGTCAGTCATGGTGTGGGGTGGCATTTCTTTGGGGGGCCGCACAGCCCTCCATGTGCTCGCCAGAGGTAGCCTGACTGCCATTAGGTACCGAGATGAGATCCTCAGACCCCTTGTGAGACCATATGCTGGTGCGGTTGGCCCTGGGTTCCTCCTAATGCAAGACAATGCTAGACCTCATGTGGCTGGAGTGTGTCAGCAGTTCCTGCAAGAGGAAGGCATTGATGCTATGGACTGGCCCGCCCGTTCCCCAGACGTGAATCCAATTGAGCACATCTGGGACATCATGTCTCGCTCCATCCACCAATGCCACGTTGCACCACAGACTGTCCAGGAGTTGGCGGATGCTTTAGTCCAGGTCTGGGAGGAGATCCCTCAGGAGACCATCCGCCACCTCATCAGGAGCATGCCCAGGCGTTGTAGGAAGGTCATACAGGCACGTGGAGGCCACACACACTACTGAGCCTCATTTTGACTTGTTTTAAGGACATTACATCAAAGTTGGATCAGCCTGTAGTGTGGTTTTCCACTTTAATTTTGAGGGTGACTCCAAATCCAGACCTCCATGGGTTGATACATTTGATTTCCATTGATCATTTTTGTGTGATTTTGTTGTCAGCACATTCAACTATGTAAAGAAAAAAGTATTTAATAAGATTATTTCATTCATTCAGATCTAGGATGTGTTATTTTAGTGTTCCCTTTATTTTTTTGAGCAGTGTAGTAGATACTGCTGCCACAGCTAGCCCGTGTGACTGACTGGGTTTGAATCTGGGACTCCAGCATGCCAAAAGCCTGTGTTAGCCCGCTGAGCTAAAGCCAACTAATGACTCGTTTTTACAATACAGTACCTGTGTCCGGTGCCAGATAACGGAAGCTCTGGAGAGGCCCAGTTTGTTTCTGCACGGCCCTTCGTCATAGTGGATCAGGAGGAAGTCATCCTGGAGAGAGAGAAGGAATCACTATCAGGGTTAAATCCTGAATTAAATATGTTAAGTCAGGGTTAAATGTGGGGGCAGATCCACTAGAAAAATGTAAGTACGTTCATATAACTCTGTTGCTTGGTCACTTTGTGCAGGTTCCAAACAATTAAATAGATCACTAGAGTATTAGTGTTCCCTATGGCAGGCTCAGGCAGTACCAGCAGAAGGGTGTGTTTGTGTGTGTGTGTGTGTGTATGCGTGTTTGTGATTGTGTGTGTATGTTCAGTGTTGGTTGTTTAACTCACTTCCAGAGACTCCAGGCAGTACCAGCAGAAGGGTGTGTTTGTGTGTGTATGCGTGTTTGTGATTGTGTGTGTATGTTCAGTGTTGGTTGGTTAACTCACTTCCAGAGACTCCAGGCAGTACCAACAGAAGGTGCGCTTACAGTTCTTGCACATCATCTGAGCACAGCCCTTGTCCCTCTCAATGTACACCTTACACTTGGGACAGCGCTTGATGGGCGTGTCGTCATCGCTATTGTAGAAGGAACTGAAAGACAAGAGACAATGAACGTCAAGGTGGGACATAGATAGACCAGTACATACTGAACTGTCAAGAATAACAAGAGTAATACGAACAGCTAAAAATCACTGCGTTATTGAGTCTTTATTGGGCTGTGTTATTGAGCACATTAGATAGAACCTTCCCATTTCACTCAGTTTCAAAACGTTTTCTTCCTACTGAACCTACGCTGTGTGGTCCTCCTGAGTGTTGTTGTGACAGTTTGTGTATCAGTATGATAGTGTAGTCTACAGTAGGAGTGTTGTGTTATCAAGTGTTGGAACCTACCTGTAAAAGCCTACCTGGTCTCCCCAGGTAGGAAGGTGTGATGGTGTATTTGGCCAGGGGTTGGAACCAAAATTATTTTCCAATTGTACCCTTCCAAGCAGAACCCCTATTTATTTCGTTCTGTTCCGGTGTTCCAACCAGTAAATAACGTTCTGAAACGGTTCAACATTGTTTTTACATTTAGCTCATTAATTTACTCCACCAATCAGCGCAGAAGTGACTGGGTGGGGAGGGAGCAAGAGAGAGGGGTGGACATAGAGGGGGCTTGGTTTGAAGCGCTGAACATCATGACGTGCATTGGAATGTGTTTAGGTTATTACTAGCTTTATAACTGTACAGAATAACAATTGTTTTGGGGAATGAAAAATAATTGTATTAACCGGTTCTCAAGATTTGAAAATAACGGTTCTGTTCCAGAACACTAGAGATCACTTTCGGTTTTCTGTTCTGTTCCCTGAACCGGTTCCAACCTCTGGTATTGGTGTGATAGTGTACAGTGTTAGTGTATAGGGATGTATAGTTTACAGGTGTGTTGCAGTAATGTCCTACCTGGTCTCCCCGGGTAGGAAGATGTTGTCCTGGCAGGCATGTCCTTTATGCCAGTCGTCCCGGCAGGCCGAGCAGAACTCCAGCCTGCACACAGAGCACTGGACCAGCTGTGGCAACTCCATCTCCCCCTCCTTCAGCTGGCACACTGCCTGGCACGACGAGGACGGGCACCAGGTCCGGCACGGGTCCAACAGCACCTCTGTGGAACTCACACAGTGACAGGGTCGTATTCATTAGGGTACATCGTAGCAAAGCGTTTTGCAATGGAAACATTTTCTTGTTGGATAAGTTCAGGTAGTCCCTCCCTCTTCAGTCCATTTCCTTACTTTTCCTCCCATCACACAGGGACAAAGCTGCCTGGCATCATAGAAATAGAATTACTGGTACACTCAATATGGCCGCCGGTCCACTCATCACAGAACATACTAGTCATTCTATATCTATAGCTGGGACCTCATACCTCAACGGGGGAACATGTGAGAACGGAACACCCAATAGAAGAAGAACAAGACTACAAGCACAGCTTTTAAAGCCTTTTTCACTTAATCTTTGGCATCTTAATAAAAGCTATTTTGAGATAAAGAATGATTCTTTGTCCTGGTTTGAGCTCTCTTTGATCACGATTATGCTAATCTTCTTGGAACTTTTCTGTGGACAGGAGTAAAAATAAAAGCCCCACTCATCCAGTACAAGATACATAACAACTGCTGTGTGTGTGTGTGTGTGGGTGTGGCTCCACTGGAATTAGAAAGTGCTCATCCACCATTATTCATGAGCCAGATGCCTTGGGATTGTTTTTCTGAGGATGTTGCCAATTAAATCCTACACAAATCCAATTAAACAGAATTTAATTAGTTAAGATGGAGAGAAAATGCTCCCAGCCCACTGCTCTCTTCTTCTCTCTGAGAGCCTTAAACCTTTTAAAAGAGGTTAAGAAAGGCCTAAAAGTGGAAGGAGAAAGCTGAATAAACAGTCAAGTGTCTCCATTCTCTCTACTTCTACAGTCTGTGTATGGTAAGGGTTAAGGTTCAAGGGTCACTGGGTCAGCCATCAGCCACTCTTCTCTCTGAGAGTCTTATATAATGTTTTAACAGAGGTTAAAGATAGGTATACAGTGGATGAGAAGGAAGGAGGGAGTCACATTGATGAATAACCAGTGACTCCTCTCATCTCTCTCTCACCACTCCCACAGCTTGTGAATCAATCAAATGTATTCGTAAAGCCCTTTTCACATCAGCAGATGTCACAAAGTGCTTATATAGAAACCCAGCCTAAAACCACAAAGAGCAAGCAATGCAGATGTAGAAGCCCGGTGGTTAGGAAACACTCTCTAGAAAGGCAGGAACCTAGGAAGAAACCTAGGATGTTGCCCATCCACTCACCTCTCTCAAACTGCAGCCTCCTGTACCTCTGCATGCTCTCTTCTGCCACCATGCATTCCATCTGTAAGAGAGAGAAATACAGAGACAAACACATATGGATTAAGTCTCTCAGCACCCTGTTTTATGGATTTAAGCCTCTGCACTCCTGACCTGTTGATGACTCATCCAGGCTTAATGGGAAGAGAGTCAAATAGCTACAGTACATGGGGATCTCAGTGGCAGTGTCCCTAATGGCACCCTATTCCCTATTTAGTGTACTACTTTTGACCAGGGCCCATAGGGCTCTGGTCAAAAGTAGTGCACTATATAGGGAATAGGGTGTCATCAGTGAGTTCAATGGGAAACCTGGAAGGACTACTGTACTGTACCTCGTTCTCCAGCAGGTGTCCATGTTTTGGGCAGGCAGAGTCTGGACAGCTAATAGCAGTTTCGAGGCCCTCTTTGATCAGAAATTCCACATACTGCTTCAAGCACTGTAAGGGAGAAAGAGAGAAGTTAAACTTGACTATAAAATACAATGAATAGTGGGCGTGTCCCAAATGGCATCCTATTCAATATATAGTGCACTACATTTGACCAGAGCCCTAAGGGCCCTGGTCCAAAAGTAGTTTACTACATAGGGAATAGGGTGCCATTTGGGACACAGCCTAGTAGGCGTGGGAACCATGAACGTTTGTCTTGACAGTTTGACAGTTACCATAAGGAGTGGAAACCATGGTCAGTTTGCCTTGTGTTATGTTCAGCACTGCTGAGTGCTGTTTTGTTCGCAATCACACTCTTCACTAAGTACAGCCCTACTTAAAAGGGCGTTGTTAAGCTAACAGTCAGAGAATATGGCTATATCAGGATCCATTAGGCCTGGGTGGAGTTCATTAAGCACCAAACTGACGAAAACTGACTGAAACAGGGAGGGACTACCTAGACGTGTCCAATAGGAAACATTAATTTTCACCTTCTGTTGCAAAACGTTTTCCGTTACTTGCCCTTATGAATGTGACCCAGAGTCGTATTCATTAGGCCACACCCGTAGCAAAATGTTTTGCAAGTTCGTTTGGTACTTTGTTCTTTGGTAACACAACCCAGTCTTAATGGCGCCTAATACACTGAGTGTACAAAACATTACATTACATTACATTTTAGTCATTTAGCAGACGCTCTTATCCAGAGCGACTTACAGGAGCAATTAGAGTTAAGTGCCTTGCTCAAGGGCACATTTACGTCATTTAGCAGACGCTCTTATCCAGAGCGACTACAAATTGGTGCATTCACCCTATAGCCAGTGGGATAACCACTTTACAATTAAAAAAAAAAAGTTGTAATTTTTTAAAAAATTTATTTATTTATTTATTTTTTTAATTAATTTTTTTTTTTTTGGGGGGGGGGGGGGGGGGGGGGGGTAGAAGGATTACTTTATCCTATCCCAGGTGTTCCTTAAAGAGGTGGGGTTTCAAATGTCTCCGGAAGGTGGTGAGTGACTCCGCTGTCCTGGCGTCGTGAGGGAGCTTGTTCCACCATTGGGGTGCCAGAGCAGCGAACAGTTTTGACTGGGCTGAGCGGGAACTATGCTTCCGCAGAGGAAGGGGAGACATTAGGAACACCTGCTCTTTCCATGACAGACTCACCAGGTAAAAGCTATGATCGCTTATTGATATCACCTGTTAAATCCACTTCAATCATTGTAGATAAAGGGGAAGAGACAGGTTAAAGAAGGATTTTAAAGCCTTGAGACAATTGAGGATTGTGTATGTGTGCCATTCATTGGGTGAATGGGTAAGACAAAAGATATAAGTGCTTTTGAACGGGGTATGGTAGTAGGTGGCAGGCGCACCGGTTTGAGTGTGTCAAGAACTGCAACGCTGCTGGGCTTTTCACGCTCAACAGTTTCCCATGTGTATCAAGAATGGTCCACCATCCAACGGACAAACAGCCAACTTGACACAACTGTGGGAAGCATTGGAGTCAACATGGGCCAGCCTCCCTGTCGAATGCTTTCGACACCTTGTACAGTCCATGCCCCGACAAATTGAGGCTGTTCTGAGGGCAAAAGAGGGTGCAACTCGATATGAGGTATTCCTAATGTTTTGTACACAGTGTATAGCCATGTACTCTGTCTGTTAGCTTAACAATTCCCTTTCCTCTACACCTGAAAAGCAGTGTGCTGACTGGTCTGCCCTGTCCCTGCTCCTGTTTTTCCCACTGTTGCAAAATGTTTTAAAACCTTTTCAATTGCATGCCCTAATGAACAGGACCCAGTCAAATGTGTTGGTTGTATCTACTGACCAGGCTGCAGAAGACACATTGGCACTGGCTGATGGTGGTCATCTGCTCCTGGGGGAACTCTCCAAGGCACAGCTTGCAGGACATCAGGGGGTCCAGGGCCAGGTCCCGGGTGGGACAGTACCGTGCCGATGGGGCCGTCGACATGGCATCTGACACAGGTGACCTGGAACATAAAAAGGTGATGGGGTCAGACATAATAATAAGATTGTAGAACATCAGCGAGCATGTCTGAGAATAATCTACACTCTTTCTGTTTTTCTGCTTTAGAAATTAATATAACATCAAATGATGGTTTGATGATTTTCAATTGGACCGTCCAGTGACTATTCTTTAAATGAACAGTGTTTCTTCTAAGGTTCTACATAATAAGGTCTTCATAACAACAGGCAGTCTAAAAATGAATACAAAAAAGCTTCATTTTGGTTCTTTTGTAATGAATATTCAGTCGGTCTTGCACCTTTGAAGACGTTATGGAGTCATGAAAGCAACCCCTAGTCATCCTCAGCTACTGCTTTTTAATGCAGAGCCCACATCGCTAAGAGCCGCTCTCTTTCTTCCTCAACCCCCCCCCCCCTCGGTGGTGTCTACAGTAGCTAGCTTGTCAAAAGCACTCCTCAGGCTGCTAGGCAACCAGCAGACAGACAAGAGGGCCAGTGGCTAACAACTCCACATAAGAACAGTACAGCATAGACCAGCCTCTCTCTCCTCCACACAGTTCCAGAGCGAGAGAGAGATTCTTCATTTCAGAGACATAATTTCAAACAAGAGTGAGTGCATGGGAGAAGCTTTATTCAAACAACAAGTTCCTCTCACCACACAGAGTAGAGGTAACTTGTGAATTGACTGGCCAGGCACCATGGCTGGGTTAAGCCCTGAAATAGCCCCACTCTGCACTGTGTGAAAGGGATGCATCATGGAGAGGAACATGCTACTGTGGAACTGGAACCAGGGCCAAGTTCAAGCCTCAATGGTCCAAGCTCCTACTAAGTTCCTATTGACGAACAAAGACAGGAATGAGTGTTGCTTGCCTTTCACTCACCACAGAGCCATGCATCACTAGTACTGTAACCAGCCTACACAACTTCTCTTTTCAGCTGTAAAATGACTCATGTGGCTTGGTACTGGTAGTGTGTGTCACCCATAGATGGAGACAGGGTTGGAAACAGATGGAACTGAAGGATGTGCTACAGTCTGTTCAGTGCTGGCCACACACACACTAGAGCAGGGAGGGGTCTCAACTTACTGTTGAGAGTTAGAATACAAGCGGGGAAATTTTGAGATGTCAGCAAAACATAGCCCATGTCAGCAAAACATTTTTAGGTTGGTAAATTCGTCTAGCAGCCAGGTATCATGGTTGAATTACCGACCGGGGTGCTCCCATTGATTTTGTTAGTCACTCTCACTCAAACTTCTCTCCACCCTATTGCAAACTTTCTCAACCCTATGGCAAAATCTTTTCTCTGCCCTATGGCAGAATGTGTATAATTGCAGGAAATGTACTCAAAAATTGTTTCTCTCCGTTGTCAAGAGGCCCCCACCCCCATCAAAGTTCCCCATCCCTGCACTAAAAGTACTGTAGGAGGACCTCCTGGTGTAGTGTGTGTGGATGACCAAAATAACATGGTTTTACCATAGCCAGAGCCCCCTCCCACCCACACCACTCTAATATTAGGAACATGAGTAAGAGTATGTGACCGTGTCTGAATCTCTGAAACTATAAAAAGGAACATGTTGATCATACATGAACACATGGTGCATCACATCCTCCACAAAGTGTCACAACAACAACCTTTAACTCCAGTCCAAACATAGCACAGATGAGAAAATAAGTATAAGATGGGTATCACGCCAGACAACAAGTCTCATAGTGTCAGCATCCCAAATGGTACCCGATTCCCTATATAGTACACTACTTTTGACCAGGGCCCATAGGACTCTGGACAAAAATAGTGCACTACTTAGGGAAAAGGGTGCTGTTTGGAATGCAACCATAGTTTGGGCTCTGGCCAAAAGTAGTGTACTATAAAAATAAAAAAAAGAAGTGAAATAGACAACGCTGGAATGTGATTTTAACCAATCAGCATCTAGGATTAGGCCTACTGTTGTATAAACAGGGAATAGGGCATATAATTAGGAATTAGAATACTAGAATGGACCTGAACCTTCTTATGACAGTATAAAAGGTCTACATTCTAGCAGTATATAACTAGCTAAATTGACATTTGTCTGTTAGCTTACTAGCTAGTTCCAACTGTTTTACTGGTGGTAACCATAGCAACATGGCCACTAAGGCAGGCTAGAGACTCGGGGGACTCGGCATCGACTCGGACTCAAATGTGAGTCAATCTCAAATGTGAAAACTTCAAGGGTGTGTAGAGTACTTTAATTGAAAAGCAAATCTATAAAAAAATAGAAAATAAACTATAAGTATAATGTAAAACATTCTATAGATTGAATGATTTGTTTTCAGCTGATCCCATTCCTCACTTGAACCCCATGTAAAGTGATGTGCTCGACAATACATGTCTTCTTGTTTGTCTTACTGCCAGCAGACTCTGTCTCTCCACCCTCAACCTCCCGGACTGTCTCCACCTTCCACCCCCATGCACCAAATACTCATTGTTCACAGCCAGAAACGTATGTGTGACTACAAAATACATGTCTTATTTTTTGTCTCTCCACCCTCAGCCTCTCTGATGGACTGTCTCCACCTTCCACCACCGTGCGCCAAATACTCAAAATGTGAATCTGAAGGCTGGCACCCTGAGCCTGAGCTGGTGTGGCTGGACAGTAAAGGAGACCATCTCAAATCTGAAAACTTCAAGGGTGTGCAGACTTTCACTAGGCACTGTATCCCCATTGATTCTTTAAGAAAATAAGTTAATAATGCTTGTTGAGCTTAGTTGAACTGTTATTCCCCATCAGAACCAAACATAGGCCGGTTTAACTGAAAATAAACACTGTATAGCCTCAAAACATGGTTAAAACTATAATTTGTATATAATGGCTAGCCAGCCTTGCATCCATAGCTCTGATAAGTTTATGGTCAGTGCTATCCGGTATCCTTGGGACGTCCCTAACCTAAACAATAACCCTTACCCTAAACGTACACATAACCAAATCCCTTACCTAACCTAGACCATTTTAAAATGTCAACTTCAATGTCAACTGACCAATATACATTCATGTGGGTGTGGTCTGGCACATAAATGCATATAAATCAGACACAGATATTTGTATTGTAACCAAACTTGGGACACATGTTCCAAACCCTGTCAAGACTCAACATAAGCAAGCACATTCAGATTGACCACATGGTGGCGCTACAACAGGCACATATTTATACAGTGAGGGAAAAAAGTATTTGGTCCCCTGCTGATTTTGTACGTTTGCCCACTTCAAAGACATGATCAGTCTATAATTTACATTTACATTTTAGTCATTTAGCAGACACTCTTATCCAGAGCGACTTACAGGAGCAATTAGGGTTAAGTGCCTTGCTCAAGGGCACATTTACGTCATTTAGCAGACGCTCTTATCCAGAGCGACTCACAAATTGGTGCATTCACCCTATAGCCAGTGGGATAACCACTTTACAATTTTGGGGGGGGGGGGTAGAAGGATTACTTTATCCTATCCCAGGTATTCCTTAAAGAGGTGGGGTTTCAAATGTCTCCGGAAGGTGGTGAGTGACTCCGCTGTCCTGGCGTCGTGAGGGAGCTTGTTCCACCATTGGGGTGCCAGAGCAGCGAACAGTTTTGACTGGGCTGAGCGGGAACTATGCTTCCGCAGAGGAAGGGGAGCCAGCAGGCCAGAGGTGGATGAACGCAATGCCCTCGTTTGGGTGTAGGGACTGATCAGAGCCCGAAGGTACAGAGGTGCCGTTCCCCTCACTGCTCCATAGGCAAGCACCATGGTCTTGTAACGGATGCGAGCTTCAACTGGAAGCCAGTGGAGTGTGCGGAGGAGGGGGGTGACGTGAGAGAACTTGGGAAGGTTGAACACCAGACGGGCTGCGGCATTCTGGATGAGTTGTAGGGGTTTAATGGCACAGGCAGGGAGGCCAGCCAACAGCGAGTTGCAGTAATCCAGACGGGAGATGACAAGTGCCTGGATTAGGACCTGTGCCGCTTCCTGTGTAAGGCAGGGTCGTACTCTCCGAATGTTGTAGAGCATGAACCTGCAGGAGCGGGTCACCGCCTTGATGTTAGCGGAGAATGACAGGGTGTTGTCCAGGGTCACGCCAAGGCTCTTCGCACTCTGGGAGGAGGACACAACGGAGTTGTCAACCGTGATGGCGAGATCATGGAACGGGCAGTCCTTCCCCGGGAGGAAGAGCAGCTCCGTCTTGCCAGGGTTCAGCTTGAGGTGGTGATCCGTCATCCATACTGATATGTCTGCCAGACATGCAGAGATGCGATTCGCCACCTGGTTATCAGAAGGGGGAAAGGAGAAGATTAGTTGTGTATCGTCAGCGTAGCAATGATAGGAGAGGCCATGTGAGGATATGACAGAGCCAAGTGACTTGGTGTATAGGGAGAAAAGGAGAGGGCCTAGAACTGATTCAGGAGGGAGGAAAATGTGGCAAAGAGCTTCCTAGGGTTAGAGGCTGATGCTTGGAATTTAGAGTGGTAGAAAGTGGCCTTAGCAGCAGAAACAGATGAAGAAAATGTAGAGAGGAGGGAGTGAAAAGATGCCAGGTCGGCAGGGAGTTTAGTTTTCTTCCATTTCCGCTCCGCTGCCCGGAGCTCTGTTCTGTGAGCTCGCAATGAGTCATCAAGCCACGGAGCTGGAGGGGAGGACCGAGCCGGCCGGGAGGATAGGGGACACAGAGAGTCAAAGGATGCAGAAAGGGAGGAGAGGAGGGTTGAGGAGGCAGAATCAGGAGATTGGAGGGAGAAGGATTGAGCAGAGGGAAGAGATGATAGGATGGAAGAGGAGAGAGTAGTGGGAGAGAGAGAGCGAAGGTTGCGGCGGCGCATTACCATCTGTGTAGGGGCAGAGTGAGTAGTGTTGGAGGAGAGCGAGAGAGAAAAGGAAACAAAGTAGTGGTCGGAGACATGGAGGGGAGTTGCAGTGAGATTAGTAGAAGAGCAGCATCTAGTAAAGATGAGGTCAAGCGTATTGCCTGCCTTGTGAGTAGGGGGGGACGGTGAGAGGGTG